CGACCACCCAGCCCGGAGGCCTTAGTCATGGTGGATTTTGTCCTCCCTCAACCTGCCACTGGGTTAGGAACAAATGTACAATGATAACAAACCAAATATAAGCACGAAGAAATCATCGACCTGCCTCCAAGGTCTACTCGAGCTATCCATGTCTTCACGACCCAACACTAGGATCGACCACCCAGCCCAGAGGCCTTAGTCATGGTGGATTTTATCCTCCCTCAACCTGCCACTGGGTTAGGAAACAAATGTACAATGATAACAAACCAAATATAACCAAGAAGAAATCATCCACCTGCCTCCAAGGTCTGCTCGAGCTATCCATGTCTTCACGACCCAACACTAGGGTCGACCACCCAGCCCGGAGGCCTTAGTCATGGTGGATTTTTGTCTTCGAGCACATGCCCACCCTCGAAGAAGTGGCCGTTACATGCGACCACCAAGCCCAGAGGCCTTAGTCATGGTGGATTTTTTTGTCTTCGAACACATGCCCACCCTCGAAGGAGTGACCGTTACATGCGACCAACCAGCCCGAAGGCCTTAGTCATAGTGGATTTTTTGTCTTCGAACACATGCCCACCCTCGAAGGAGTGGCCGTTACATGCGACCACCCAGCCCGGAGGCCTTAGTCATCGTGGATTTTGTGTCTTCGAACACATGCCCACCCTCGAAGGAGTGGCCGTTACATGCGACCACCCAGCCCGGAGGCCTTAGTCATGGTGGATTTTTTGTCTTCGAACACATGCCCACCCTTGAAGGAGTGGCCGTTACATGTGACCACCCAGCCCGAAGGCCTTAGTCATGATGGATTTTTTGTCTTCAAACACTTCGACCTGCCACTGAGGTCAGATAAGAACGCAATGAGCTAAAAGATATGATAGTAATTGATCATTTTCGTTAGTCCAATAATATTCGTAATTATATCGAGCAAGATAAAGAATTAAGCATATTTTTTGACCTTCCTTTCCTGGTTGTACATGATGAGCTGTGCTCGAATTCTTCGACCTGCCACTGAGGTCGAAAAGGAAAACATCGAACACAACAAGATATGATAGAAATTGATCATTTTCGTTAGCGTCACCAAATGCATAATCCGAACCATATTCATATGCATCACAATTTCTTCAACAATTCGCCCAAAGTACTCAGACAACGAACATCTTTAAAAAATAGTACTAACGGACTCAATGCATCCGTAAACCACGTGTCGATCACACACGACCACCGAACAAGAGTTGAGAATAGTTTTGTACCTGAAGGTCGAGAATACCACTTCAAATCGTCTTACCTCTCCAAAAGAGAATGATTTCTTCCTTTGATATCGACACCATCCATGCTTATCTTTCATTATCATCCACCTTTGATGGACTCATGCTCGTTCATTTTGTCCTCGACACTCAAAAGCTCCTCCGCCATGGCTCGTCAAGACTCGGGTTATTTCATCGTTTCCTCGACAAGAATTCAGAGAAATATCATTATCCACATTATATTCAAGTTATCCGTTTTGCAATGCTCCATGCAAGAAAAGCAAGAGATCAAATACAAATATCACCATCCCTTGATTTAAGACATGCTCGAGCGATGACATGCTTAGACGCACCGAAATTATGGACAATCAATTCAAACAAAATTCCACACATTCACATGAAAATTCAAATGATAGGTTCCGAATATATCAAGATATCGAATCATATAATTTTGACCAGTTTCCTCGGGCTCACCGATAAATGCACCAAACACACGATAAGCACAATCACAAAATATCCTCAATTCGATATTAGAGCCGCATTTATCAAGAAAAATCATCAAATATCCTCAATTCAAAATCACGATCCACATTCATTTCCAATCAAATAATATCTCGAGCAAATCAAATAATTCTCCTCGAACGAATCGAATAATTCCGCAAGCAAGTCAAATAATACTTCTCAATAAATCCAATAATACCTCGATCAAATTAAATGTTCAACGCATAAATCGCATAACATCTCTTCGACCAAATCAGATAATATCATGCATAAATTACATAATATTTTCACAAATCAATCAAGTAATATCTCCTCCAATATATCCAATAAGCTCCACAAATATGTCGAAGAATTCCATGAATAAATCCAATGGTTCACGAATAAATCGAATAATAATCTCATGAGTATATCAAATAGATCTACTCGAACCAATCGAATATATCCACGAATAAATCACATGATCCTCCACGAATAAATTAAACAATATCTCGAGCTAATCAAATATCACACGATCAATCGAATAGTCTATCAATTTTCACCATTTAAATCCTCAAGTCTTCAAATTTTCAAATTTAAATTCAATAATTTGTTCCATTTTCACTAATTTAGAAATCCTCCATTCTCAATTTAAATAAGGCACATACCTCCATCATGAAAATATTATCTCAAATCACCTTAACGCCCGCTTCGAATCATCTCTAATTAATCTTGAGCGCAAAGTGGGGCTGTAGGACCAAGTAGGGGCATTTTGGGCCTGTCTGGAGCTGATTAGGGGCAAAATGGGCTGCTCTTGAACGTTTGGGCCGCAAAAACACGCTTATTGGGCCGGACTGAGTGCAGCAGGCGACGTGGGCTGCAAGCGGGCCGAACCTGGGCCTCACGCGGGCTGAACAGAAGAAGGGCGCGGGCTGGTCGCATATGCGGACGCGGGCCAAGATGGGCTTCTCGCGAGCTGGGCGCAGGCCGCGCGCGGGCTTGATCGGGCCGATGTATATGACAGGTGCGGGCCGCGCGGGCTGGACGCGGCCCGCTTGTTTCTCCTCCCTCCACGTTGGGCCTCCGCAAATTGGGCCTCGCCCACAGCTGTTGGACCCTGATGCTGGACCATTTCCTTGGGCCGCGCTCGGACCGACCACATTGGGGCGATGCTGGACTCGGGTTGGGCTGCCTGACCTTCCACCAGGCCAGCGAGCAGAGAGCTCAAGCACAGCGGCGGCTCACCGGGAAAAACAACGTCGGCCTAGATCTCGGGTTCCGGCGATATTGACCATCAGTCCGTGCGTCTCGACGGGGAGATTCCGATGGCGTCCTCGGATTGGAGCGACGCATTGTCAATCGACGGGAAATCGAAGAAAAAATCGGATGTTGACCATTTTGTTCTTATATCCACGCACCTTTGACCGTTAAATTGACCCCCTTCCCGGTGGAATCTCTGCTTGAAATTTTAAGGGTAGAACGAGGACAATGAGAGCTTCGTAATGGTGTAAGGATTTTTCGTATCGGACGACTTTGACCGGCGGGCGCGGGCGGCGGCAGCGGCGAACGGCAGCGAGGGTGGCAGTTTTCGGTGAAGATCGGTAGCTGGAGATTTGTCTCGTCGAGAGGATTCCGGAGGTACCTTCGGATTTTTCATAGCCCTCACGGATCGCCGGAAAAATGCATTTGAATGTCCGATTTTGACAAACTTTTGTTAGATCTGGAAACTTTGACCGCAAAATTGACGGCCTTCCCGGATGAATTTTTGCACGAAATTTTATGGGGAGATTCACCTCGAAGAGATCTTTCCAATGACACCAACCATTTTCCGATCAGAGCACGTTTTCCAGCGGCCGACGGCGGAGGTGGCGGCCGGCGGTGGCGGCGGCCGGTGGAGAAGAAGGAGGTTTTCCAATTTTTTCAGTTGGAACTCCGCTTGACTTTTTTACGGGTCCCACAGACGGCGCCAATGAAGTGAATAGATTTCACCCGGGCTCCTTCAATTCGAACGGCCTCCGCACCTGCAGAACCCAACGCCGGGGGTGGCCCCGGCATCGGCCTCCGATGCCTAAGTCAGTCCATTTACGGTACCAAATTAAAAACGGCCTGTAAATAAAGGACCAAAAAACGCTCACTAAAACGTCTACAACTTTACAACACTATTCAAATAAGAGTCTTAACTTAACAATATAATTTTATTACAATTGTCACCAACTTAGTGACACTAGTTAATTATTAGTGTTAGCAAGTCTTAATAAAATTGTGACATAATATTGTTGCCAATTTCATAATAACGACGCATTAAAACGTGTCGCGTATTGATATTTCTTAACACTCATATTTTGCGTCACCAAAAATTATAGTGCCGCACTTAAAAAAGTAAAATGCATTGAAATACCAACATTACATTTTCATGTCACAATAATCCATATTAACGACGCTATAAAAAAAACGTCGTGCATTGTGATTTACCGACACAATATTACACGTCACAACGCGTAATAATAATGACACACTTAAAAAAGAGTCACCCGTTGAAAATTTCAAACAATAATATATTGTGTCACGAAATTATGTATTAACGACGCACTTTTGAAAAAGTGTCGCGGATTAAAATTTACCTACGCACCTAGATTATGTCACAAATAAATTCGTGACATCAAATTTAGCAACGCAACTCGTGACACTTTTACAAGTGTAGGTAAATTAATTTGTGACACCAATAAACTTCACCAAAAAAAAAAAAA